TTTTTACATGTTCAGGAGTGAGAAGGGCAGATCTTCAAGGATTTTGAGCAACGTTACATTAATTCTATTTCGACACCAGTCCTACTCACTAGTGAGTCACGTGAGATATGTGCGAGTAGCCCAAGCGATCAGTTGCGCGCGTAATTCCAGAGCGGTCGGTCGTGTATTTTTCCAGTGCTTGGATTATGGCAGACGAACATGATCAAATACTTTCCACTGAGGCGGAGGACGAACTCTTAACCGTTGAAACGGTCCCTAAAGAAAAGACTCCAACTGATGTCCACCCGGATCCCATGTTTAGTATGATGCAAAATGTGAACAGAAACCTCGGAGCAATGGCAGACTCGATGATCGCCGTACAGCAGTCGCTGAAGCAATGGCAGACTCGATGATCGCCATGCAGCAGTCACTGAAGCGTCTTCACTCCAGCTACACAGACGAACAAATCGACCCTAAACAGCGTAAACACTGTTCCAGAGACAAAATGAGTGCCTCCGATGGTTCAGAGCACGATGGAGAAGACTCTGATGCAGACTTGCAGGCCCTCTGTGGCACTGAAGCCGACAGAATTTCCAGGGATAAACCACGTGCTCCACTTGAGCAAAACGATGGCAGCAATGACCCATTGTTGTCAGAAATCGCAGAGGATTTTCTCAATGCAGACGACTCAGGTCTGGCTATTGAGAAACAACTGGCGGACTTTATCAACAACCTGTGGTCTAAAAAATTGCCAGACTCAAAACTAAAGGATAAGTCGGCGAAGTATTTACGCCCGGCGAACTGTGAGACTCTCACAACACCGCGGGTTAATCCTGAAATCTGGGATAAACTGAGCCACTCAGTGAAACAGCAGGACCTCAGGTCCAGCTCAATCCAGAAAACGATTGCCACAGCTGGTGCTGCAATGTGCAAATCCATTGGGATGCTGCTAGAAATGAAGAATTCGAAACAGCCGAAGTCAGACTCTGACATTCAGAAACTTGTCAAAGTGAACACCAATGTGGTCGCTCTCCTAGGGCACGCACATATCGACCTGTCCCACCGTCGCGGGGAGTCGCTCAAACCGCATCTGAACAAAGATTATGCTGGTCTGTGTGCTTTCCATGTTCCTGTAACAGCTCAGCTGTTTGGAAACGACCTGCAAACCCAGCTGAATAATATACGAACATCCAACAGAGTAAGCTCCACAGCAGTTGGGAATCGCCACAAAAACTCGAAGGGACACCCTTCCCTAGTTTTTATTGAATGTAACACATGACAGAAAAAATCGTTCATTCAAAGAGCGGACAAGTGCATAATAATTATTGTCCGACATCCGCTTTATAAAAAGTTCCTCCTTATTATCACCTCTAAGGAAGATTCCGGTCATCAAGCAAATCATACTGGTTATGCTCCTTGTTTTTTCCAGGATCAAAGCAACCAAATAATTCACTATGCTTCTCCTTAACAGCACAGTCCTGCTTATTGATATGCTCTGCATTTGGAGCAACAAACAACAAACTCAAAAAAAAAATAGGTCAAATGCATTTTTCAGGACATACTTTCCATTTTGTTTCTTTTAAGTCACTTGTGAACACTAAGTAAGGAAATAAAGATGGGTTTATCATCACTGTAGTATGACTCCAAGGTACCTGCAGATTGAATAAGCTGTGGTACATTTATATAAATGTGACCTATTTGTGTGTATCCTCTGTCTGTTATCAGAGATTTTTTGAGAGCCCTTTGTTCTACAGACCCCTCTACTCTGTGTCAAAGTTTTCATATTCGGCATTATTCATATCTGCCATTGCTTTATCCAGTATTTCTGAATGGTATTCATATTGACACCTATTGCTGATAACTTTATCCTTAACCTGTTCAAATCGTTCTTGGTGAGTTTGACATTCTTTTATTAAGTCAGTGGTTTCATTTTACCATGGTATTTAAAGCATAAGCTGTTCTCGAAAAACGATTTTCTGGATCCTTACCTTTACTGTACCTAACAGATTGTATGATTTTAGGCTTCTTTTGTTTTACTAGTTTCACCCCTATTTTAAGTTTGTATTCACGTGGCTCACATTGACACTCAGTGACATTAATACTGATAGGGTCATCGTCAGGATTGTCATCAAAGCTTGTTTCTGGTAAGAAGTCATAAAGACCTGTGACTGACGACCCACTTCTACTCCAATCAGCACGTTCATCTTTAACACAGTTATAACATGCGACAAAGTTAGCTAAACACAACTTTTCTAACTGTTTTGGTCGCCTTTGATAATGCTTAATTATGTTGTCAGATTCTATGTCAGGTGAACTGTCTAACAATTCCTAAAGCTTATTCAGTTTCTTTAACAAAAATGTCCTGTCATCTGGAGGCGATGAGCTAATAAACTGAAAATCATGGGAAGATCTTCTCATGAACATTTGTGAAACAAGATAAACAGCTTCTTGGGCACTGATTTAAACTGCATTCAGAAATTTGTTTCCAATGTGCCTCACTCTATTTGTAATATCTTTATTA